AATAAATATATATATACATATAAGATATCTGCGAGAAGGAAAAAAATAGATAAGGATAGAAAAAGAAGAAAAAAAAAAAAAAAGGAAAAAGATGTCTAGAAATTATGCGAATAGTTAAAGACGAACGATTAAGATTAAAGATTGAATTTACCAGACTGAAAGCATCTAGCATGCAGAACATGTAGCAGGATAGTGATCGATCGTTTACCAGAGATCCATCGTTTACTTGATCGATCAGAGCTGTCCAACAAAAGAAAAAAAAAAATCATTAGTTAATTCTTATCCGCCATTTGATTAATTTTTTTTTTTTTTTTACTTTTTTTTTATATTTGAACTTACAAAAAATATCCATTAATTCTTGTCCGCCATTTATTTATTTATTTTTAATCGCTTACCTTGCGTTGTTCCATGTTCCTCCATGCAACGAGTCTTATCTCCGGCAACCATGTCTAACAATTCTGCGGGTACCCAATCTGGAGGCTTAATCAAATCAAAATTTGATCAAACTTTAGAAAAATTTATTTTAACATTTTATATATGCGAGTGATCTTCTGTTTTCCTCCCTCCCCTTTTTTATTTTTCTTTTTCTTTTTTTTTTCTTTTTTCTTTTTTCATTTTGTCTTTCCTTTTATTTGTTTCTTTCTTTCTTTCTTTCTTTCTTTCTTTATTTATTTATTTATTTATTTATTTTTTTTTTTTTTGGATTTGTCATTCACTTTTTCACCATGATAATAATATTCTCTCGTTTAACCTATCATTAATTTATTTAGCATAAATCTTTTTTCGTCATAAATATCTTCAATTTCAATGCACAATTTGAAAATTATTCATTGCGAGATATTTGAAAATTTTGTTTTTCAAGTACATTAAAGAGAAAAGGAAAAAAAGAGAGAAAAAACAAGTGATATTGACAAATAAACTTTTTAATGACGACATTTTAATTTTTCATGGCTATACTTATAATTCTGAGAAACAAAAGAAAAAAAAATAGAAGAAGAAGAAGAAGATAAAAACATTTTGTTCATAAACGATGATTAGACATAATTCTATAATTATTACCT